CCCTGCTTCCACGGAACCGCAAATAAGACAGCCCCTCTCAAGAAGAAAAGGGCAACAGATTTTGATTCACTTTAGAAATAATTACAGTTATGAAGTCAAGCTCTGAAAGGTGTCTTCCCCCTTTCCTACAGTGCAAAAAACAGGAGCTGCCTAGAGAGTGGAGTTTTTACAGAAGTTGTTATTTGGATTACTTCTTGCAGGTAATGTTTCTAGCATGAAAAAGAAAAAGTGGAGGCTTCATAACTCCTAACCTAGACCACGAGAAGTATCTGTCTGGTAAACGGCTTCATGGACAATGTTGTAAGATCAGATGTTTTCTTTTCAAAACATGAACAAATTCCAACAGCTCCTCTAAGCTCAAATCTGTCTCTGGTAAATGGGAAAAGTGGAAGTATCTTGCTAAGAAGTCCTAACTCTTGTCACAGGAAGGTTTGGGGAAGGGAGCCCACCAGGATCATGTGGGAGATTTGTAAAGATGTGAGACCTCAGGGGGCCAGCAGGTGGTATGGTGGTTCATGGCTAACTGTTTGGACCTGATGGCTTGCTTTCTCACTTTTCCTCTCTCTCTCTCTCTCTGATCAAACTGGAAAATAATAATAAATAAAGCTAAATAATTATTTTAAAAAACGACCACAGGAGCTAACACTGTTCTTTAGTGTGGTGGAGATACATTAACTTTTCTTTCTTTCATTTCCCCTACTTGGAAAGTACACGATCTAAATTTAGGGCTATCGGTTCTCCTTCTATTTTTCAATAATACGTTGAAGCTCGTACTTCTAAATATACAAGTGTAAGAACAAACAGAACCTGCTGATGCTCCCTCCGTAGGATGGAGACAGTGCGCACAGCTTCCCACGGTGGGCGCAGAGTGCACTTGCCTGCCATAGCCCTCTGTGCAGAAAGACCCCGCCTTCTCTCTCAGGCAACCTCTCCACCCCGCAGCTTAGACGGGTGTGCCCGGTGTGCTCTGTGCTGGCAGAGCCCTGCTTCTGGGCCCTCGCTCTAGTGTAGAGAGCTAGGAATGTGTGCATGTTATCTTACAAATAAACACATACGTAAAACGCACACAGTTCTATACATAAAAACAGGTGTGTATGAGGAAGTACCAGCTGTTTACTGTACCTCCCAAACACGAAACTTATCTCTGTGTAGTCCGATTCACAGGTCTTCCGTGCTGACTCCCGAGCGGTAAGTGTCTAGCAAGGCCTCTGACCTTCCTACGATGTTTGCCTCTAGTGCTTTGACAGTTTCACTTCTTATCTCTGTATGTTTGTTTTGTCAGTGATTCATTCCTTAGTAAGGACTGAAAAGACGATTCATCAACATTTATTGGCTAATCTATCTTTCCCCTAATAACTTGATATTCCATCTTGCCTCTATATCCGTCATCTACTGGCATGAGACAATTACCTCAAAAGTTACCATCTTTAAATCCATCATCTTCTTCTCCCCACAGGCTGGTCTGGGCTCAGGGAGGCAACTCTACCACCAGTTCCCCAGGGCAAGGGAAGTGGCAGATGTGGTCACGTGGTAGGTGGCTCAGTGCTGCCTGAAGGCACCTGATTTACTTCCTAGCCTTCTGTGTGCTCTGTCTCCACCAGGAAGCCAACCCGTGCTTCCTACACGGTGACCACGGTGGAGCCAGAGAGCGAGGGTGAGAAGTCAAGTCACGTGACTTCCAAGGGGAAGGCTGGAAGTGCTGTCACTTCTGCAGCTCTCCAAGGGTCAAAGCAAGTCTCAGGGCCAGAACAGTTTCAAGAGCAAGGGAAACGGAATCTACCCTTTCACGAGAGAAGTGGCAAAGCTACACTGCAAAGGGGCATGGCTCCAGGAATGGCTCAACCACTTCTGGCCATCTTCCCAAACACCATACCACAATCATACTCTGAGTTTCCTCAAGTGTTTGAATACATTTTTAGAATGTTATTTAAAAATTCTCTTTCCACAGGGCCGGCAGATGGTATGGTGGTTAAGGGTGCTGAACTGCCCCATGCCAACCGCGGTTCAGGTCTCAGACCTGGTGGCTTGCTTTCTCACTCTCTCTCTCTCTCTTTCTGTCCATCTCTGGTCAAATTGAAAGAAAGAATGAACGAACTTTCAAAAAAAAAATCTCTCTCCACAATTTTTGTTTGTGTTCATGTGCCAGTGTACTTTTAAAATATTAAGTAACTGTTAGCTCAGTCTTCTCTCGTTTTCTTTTTTAAAAGCGTTCTTAGAAATTCTAACACTTTTCTCTGTGGTCTCTAGAATGATCCAAGCGCTATGAAAACAAAGGCTTGTAACTGTACAGGATTCTACGGCCTCTGCAGCACTATTTATGGAGGGCTTACTACCCTGTGCCTTCTATCCGACAGTGTGATTTGTCTTCCCTTTCCCCACGTCTTCTTATCCACACCTTGTTAGCATTTTCACCTTTCCTTTTATAAACCCTTTGCATTTCTTGCTGCGTTTATTCTAAATATTTTATTTTTATTGCTACTGTAAATGACATTTACATTTTCTAAAACTGGCATGACCAAAAAACAAAGCCATTAGTTTTCGTATCCTAGACCTGCTGCTGCATAACCGCTGGCCAAGTCTCCTCCTGGGGCTTCGATCTCGCCATGCGCATCACCCCGCAGTGAAGAATGAGCTGGCACACATGGCCGGGAAGGCTGGGCGGCTGTTGCCCACCATGGGCATCGGAAAGGTGGCTATCCATCAGTCATCTCGCGGGGCTGAGTTCCCTGTTAGTTCTACTAGTTTTTCACTTGATTCCCTTGGGCTTTAAAAGATACAGTTTTGGGGACAGCAGATGGGTGGGGGTTAAGGCTCAGGGTCCCACATAACCAGCCATGTGGTTTGAGTCCCAGACCCGGGGCTTGAAAATCACACTGCGTGCATATGCGTGCATAGCCAAAAATCCCAAGAGGAGAAGGCATTGCGGTGTGGTCGATTTCCACTTGACCCCATCTCTCTCTGGCAAGTATATGAGCCCTATTGAAAAAAAAACAAAAAAGATATACAGTATCATTATAATCTTTTTTTTTTTTTCTTCTTTTTTAAGAGAACCTTTTGCTACAGGGCATGTGAGCTCACCAGAGAGACAGAGAGCAAGAAATCGCCACCGCTCCTACCTCATGCCACAATCCCTTCTCCTTTCTCCTCTCAGGATTTTGGGCATGCACACCCACACACCCAGAGTGAGTTTTAAGTTGCCGGGTCTGGGACTCAAATTTTGGTCAACCATGTGGGAGTTCAACAACATAACCATTACACCATCTGCTGGTCCAGACCCCGATCATCATAATCTTGATCATTTTATTACTTCCTTTGACATTTTGCATTTCTTTCTCTGTGTGTATGTGTATGTGGTTATTGTTTGTTTTTGTTTGTTTTAGAATTTCAATGGCTAATACTTCCAGAACAAAAACAAATAAAATTAAGTTATCTGTTGAGTATCTTTCTTCTTCTTGTTTGTTTTTTGTTTTTGTTTTGTTTTGTTTTGCTATAGGGCACGTGCGCTCTGCCAGACAAGGGGGGATGGCCATGCCACAATCCCTTCTCCTCCATTCTCCTCTCAGGATCTCAGGCACGCACGCACACGTGCCCGGCATGAGTTTTAAGCCACCGGGTCTGGGACGTGAACTGCGGTCGACTACGTGGGAGTCCAGCAACATAGCCATTACGCTAACTGCTGGTCCCAAGTATCCTACTTCTGATAGGCAAGAATATTTCTATTGTGAATATAAATAGCAACTACATTAACATTCTGTAGCATACCCACATCAACATCTGGTTTTAGATATTTCTTGATTTGGGACATTTAAGATGTTTCTTGACCCCTCCACTATTAAAAATAATAGTGAAGGGGGTCAGCAGGTGGTATAGTGGTTAAGGCACTGGACTCACACATGGTCGGCCGCAGTTCAAATCCAGGACCCAACAGCTTGAAACTCAGATTGCGCACATGTGCGTGCATGCCCAAAATCCTGAGAAGAGAATGGAGGAGAGGGGACTATGGTGTGGCCAAACCCCTTGGGGAATGATTTCTTGCTTTCTGTCTCTCTGTTTCTCTCTCCAGCAAGCACACACCCTATAGCGAAAATCTCTCTCAAAAATAAATAAATAAATAAGCAGCATAGTTATCTTGGCATATAAGCATTAGGGTGTGTTTTGCATCATTTCTTTGAGCAGCCTGAAACGGGCTTCCTAAATTGCTAACAAATATTGCTTTTCAACAAGACTACTCCCCAAAACAGCATATGTAAATACCTTTCTCACTGCATCTCTATACATGGCTTTTGTTTTTTTTAAATTATTCTCATTTAACTTTATTTATCCACTTATTTATTTTGCCTAGAGAGGGATAGAATGAGAGAGAAAGAAAGAGAGAAAGCAAGCCACCAAGTCCAGGAATCAAACCACGGTCGGCCTCGTGGTAGTCCAGTGCCCCCAACCACCACGTCACCTGTGGCCCTACAGATGGTATTTCTGACAGAAGAAAATGATGATGTTTCTGTTTACCTACCTACTGCTTAGGAGTCTAAACTGTCATCTAAATTCTCGAATCTCAATCAAAATCTCACTTAAAATCTGTAATCTCATCTGAAATCTCCTCAGAATCGGAGTATTCTAATTCTCCCTAAGGACCCGGACCCAGCCCCAGGAACGATTCATAAGAAACCTCAGAGCGAGCACCAGCACTTCCCTGCCCTGTCAGAACCTGACCCTGAGAGAGGGTTTCTTGGTTTCAGCTCCAACGGCTTTTGGGAGGAAGTCACCCTCCACTGTGGGGGCCGTCCCATGTGCTGAGAGAGCTTACCAGGTTAGGCTATCAGGAACCGTGTCCACACAAGGCCAAACGTCTCCTGGGAAAACTGCCGCGGGGTGGTGCCGCCGTGTTAGGAGACGCGTGCTCTGGGGGTCAGGGGCGGGGTCCCTGATCACAGCACACCATGGTGCTCCAGACACCCCGGAGAAAAGGAGAACTGAAACACGAGATAAAGTAAAATACTCACTTGGCTTTGTAAGGTGAATCTGAGCCAGAATTTTTGGTTTCCATTAAGCTCTCATATTCCTTGGCCCTAAAGAGAAAAAAGGTTTATCACTATTAATTATTTTGCTACAAATGTTTATAACAAACCAAAACCCTGCCTGTGTTTGTCCTCTTCCGGTATAAAAGGTTACTGAAATAACAGATCAGGAACATCTGATTTTGAACACTCTGGTTTCTAAAGTTGCTCCTTCATGAGACATTAACAAGTACGTGCTCCCTGTGCCAACGGTGACAACGTGTGTCACCGCTGCGTTGTCTGTCGTTGGGAGAGGGTGCATGCACTTGCTGGAGAGAGACAGACGGAGGAGAAAGTCACTCACGCCCACGTTAGTTCTGAAAAACAGCCTCACGTTCACCTCGGTCCTCGAATGTCTACTCTCACCAGCAAAGCACAGAGGACAAATCTCGAATCGTCAAAGTCCTGATCTTATCCCACTGGTTATCTATAGCGGTTCCTGAGGGAGCTCTCCATAACGTGACGTAACTCTTCTAATTATTCAACTTTACACTTTTTGATACCAGAGCTCACAGTTTATAAATCTGGACTTGGAGACTCCAGTTCTGAGACATTCTGAGATTTTTTTTTTTCCCCCGGGTAAGAATACGTTGAGACATTTTCATCAGTTAGGATACTGCCGCTAGGGGGCAGTAATGCTTGAGTAATATGAGTACAGACTCATTCAGAAGCCAAGGAGGAAATGATTTCTTTTAAAAAATAAATGCTAATTGAAAAGGGTACGCAGATATCGAACAGGTGTATAAATGAACACACCATCTACCTGCAAGTCCCTCTGAGATATCCACTGGAGACTCAAACAGACTGACCAGAGCCTCGGGCACATCATCTCCACCTGGCCCCCCTTTCAGTCGAGGACATCAAGCGTGTGTGGGGGTGGGGGTGTATGCATGCACGTGCTCACCCTCCAGGGTCGGGGTCACCATCAACTCCTTCCTGCCTCCCTCTCTCCCACTGGGAGACCCAGGCAATCCCTCTCAGCGTTGTTTGGTTCTGCAACTCATCTCTACAATATGCCTGCGCCAAAGATTTTGGCATTTAATTTTGATACTTACTGAACTATGGTTTAATACTTCATGTGAGAAAGTTCTTTTTTTTTTAAGTAGGAGGCTTGAGAAATTCATTGTCCTTTATTAGCTAAATTTTCCTCATTTGTAAGATAAGGGGATTAAAAACTAGTGAAATTCTTAAGGTCTCTTCTAGCTCTAAGCGTCTATAATTCTAAACACCTACAAAAAGTAGGTAGATCGGGACCAGCAGAAGGCATACTGGTTATGTGGCTGGACTCCCATGTAGTCGACCGCAGTTCGAGCTCTGGATCTGGCGGCTTAAAACTCATGCTAGGCGCGCGTGCACGTGTGCCCAAAATACCGAGAGAATAGAGGAGAAGGGACTGCAGCATGGCATTCTCTTGGGCGGTGATTTCTTGCTTTCTGCCTCTCTGTCTCTGACTCTCCGGTGAGCACACACACCCTATAACAAAAATTTCTCTTAAAAAAAAGAAAGAGTAGGTATTTCAAACTGTTAGGTAAATCTAATAACCTGAGAGTTTATTAAAAGGTAGATTACTCTCCTAAAACCAACTGAATAGGAATCAATAGGCAGAAGCCCAGGATCTACCTTTTAAAAAAGATCCCAGATTGGGCCAGCAGGCAGAGTGGTGGTTCAGGCACTGGACTCCGACAAGGGAGAGTCCTGCCAGACGCATGTGCACGTGTGCCCAAATCCCGGAAGGGACTGTGCTGTGGCCATCCCCCGTGGGGCTGACTTCTCATCTTCCCTCTCTCTGTCTCTCTCTGATGAATACACATACCCTACAGAAAAAAAAATTAAAAATTAAAAAGCTACTAAGAATCCCAGGTGATTCTGATTCACCTGTTCTAAGAATTACAGTTTGAAAATCACAGACCTGCTGCATGATTTAATTCACGTCACCAAAGCAACATCATAATTACCATGTTTTTTGGAGAGGATTTTTTTACTATAGGGCTCGTGCACTCATCAGGAAGACAGAGAGACAGAAAGCCAGCAATCACCCTCCGGGGGGATAGCCACGCCACAATCCCTCCTCCTCCATTCTCCTCTCAGGATCTTGGGCACACACGCACACACACCTGGCGTGAGTTTAAGCCACTGGGTCTGGGATTTGAACCACGGTCGACTACGTGGGAGTCCAGCGACATAGCCATTATGCTGTTCTTTCTTATGCCAGCAGGTGGGCAGTTTTATGGGTGTAATCTGGACTCAAGTTGAAGTCTTTCAGAGGTGCACAAGGTAAAAACTTTCCCACTCTCTCTCTTACAAGCATACAGTTAAATTGGGCGGGGTGGCGCACGCCCTATGACAAGCATACAGTTAAACTGAAGCTACGTGGACTGTGGTATTACAAGAGACAGAATTCTCACAGCAGGTGTGCGACTCCTGCTCTCCTTACTGAGCCAGACATTAACGAAGTCTGCAAGAACATAAAATAATGTCACTCTTCTCACTTCTTTGGAAAGTAGTTCATTTTTAATAAAAATATTTTATTTGTGTATATGATTTATTATTATAAATTTAATGTCTGTTTATTACAGGAGAGAGACAGAGTGTGAATGAGTGTGTACTCTAACAGAATCTTTTTTTTAAAAGAACTATCTTATTTAACTTTATTTATCCATATATGTATTTTAATTTGGTGAGAGAGAAAGAGAGGGAAAGTGAGAAAGCATGCCGCCAGGTCCAGGAATCGAACCACGGTCAGCCATGTGGGAGTCCAGTGCCTTCAACCACCATGCCACCTGCTGGCCCCAGACAGCATCTTGACCCCGTAACAAGTGAGTGTGTGGTGTACTGAAGGAGGTCTCTGGATCTGAACTATTAACCTTCCTGTAAGAGTCTGCCTGGAAGAGTCTCGTGTTTTACTGCTGTGCCACTCAATGGCCCCAGTTTTACTTTTTTTTTTTTTTTTTAATAATTTAATTTAAAAAATGTTTAGTATATCTTACTTTTGATTTCTAATATGATAAGCATTACTTCTGATTTTTAATTGGATAAGCACTGATAAATATACTTAGATACACAAAAGCTATTTGGAGTACTAAATATTGGTTAATTTTTATAAATTAAAAATCTGTAAGTGTAAAAGCCAAAGTTCTGACTCACGCCGAGTCCTTTTCTCCTGTCCAGACTCTTCAGCAACCACATGGTCCCCACCGTCCTTCATCCATGTGTAGAGCATACAGCAGTTCCCCTCATCCTACCGCCTGGAAAGCACCAGGCAGCCCTGTTCTCTCTCACGCTGACTCAGGCCCGACAGACGCTTCCACTACCAGTACCACGGAACCGCCAACGGGCCATTCCACTTCGAGCCTGCATTCTGGTTCACGATAAGAGACTCCTGGTCCTTTTCTCCATTTGCACATGGACAAAGAAATCTCAGTGATAGGAATCACAAAGCTCACAGTCCAATTTCTAATTCTTCGATAAATGTTCATTGAGAATCTATTGTGCCAGAATAAAATCATGAAATTGATATTCTAGAAGAGAGGCAATGTGCAAACGAATAAACAGCTAAACTATATAGTGGTTTAAATGATGGTAAACACTAGTCGGGTCAGCAGTTGGTGTGGTGGTTGAGGCACTAGACTCATACATGGCCGACCACAGTTCGAGTCCTAGACCTGATGGCTTGCTTTCTCACTCTCCCCACCCCAACCCCCATCGAGCAAATTAAATAATAATAATAATAATAATAATAATAAATAAACACTTCTTTTAAATAAACAAGTTAGGCCTTGGAAATTTTTGCTTCCAGCCACAATGAGGTAACTAGCATTAAGTCGTCGAGAAAGCCATGATGTATTTTTCTATGGTTTCTATGCAAGAATGTGTTATGACTTTCATGACGACCCAGTATCATATTAGCTCTTCTGTTATAAAAAACTATAAAAGTTCTTAAAATATATGAGTTTACTGTTTTTCATGTATAGACAATTGTCAGCACAATACTGTAATCCATCAGAAAAAGGAAACAATGTGGGACCAACAGTTGGCATAATGGCTATGTCACTGGACTCTCATGTTGTCCACCATGGTTCAAGTCCCGGACCCGGTGGTTTAAACTCACGCCAGGCGTTTGTGCATGCCTGCCCAAGATCCCAAGAGGAGAATGGAGGAGAAGGGATTGCGACGTGGCCGTCCCCCCCTGGAGGGGTGAATTCTCACTTTCTGTCTCTCTCTGTCTTTCTGGAGAGTGCACATGCCCTATAGCAAAAATCTGAAAGAAAGAAAGAAAGGAAAGAAAGAAAGAAAGAAAGGGGAAGGGGAAGGGGGAGGGGAAGAGGGAAGGAAGGGGAAGGGGAAAGAGAAAAGAAAAGAAAGGAAAGGAAAGGAAAGGAAAGGAAAGGAAAGGGAAGAAAAAAGAAACAATGAATAAATCCCATGATCACCTCAACTTTCTGCCTGGAGTCACTTTCCGGATAGCTACCCGTGTGGGAGGGAGGTGGCCAAAACAGACCATGTAAGGGCCTCTGAGCTAAGGAGACAGGGGGCATTTGCAGGGCGGGGAACGGTGCAGAGGTGTGGGCATAAGCGGTCCCGAAAGCTTCAGACAGCCCCTCTTGGGTCGCTGGCTACAGTGATCGGTGAATGCGTAAGATTTCAAAACTGGAAAAAGAACAACTACCAAGGAACTGTAAGGTGAACAGGGACTGGAACTTTCATGGAGCTGGAGGATGTCTGAGTTTCAACGACCATGGTTTATTTACTGTATGCCTTAGTCATTCCACAGAGAATTCACAAAGGCCATACCTTCAGAGGAGGGCGAATATAAACCCTAGAATTAAGGGTTGCTCTAGAGTCACCTAACAAAGCTTAAAACCAAGCTTTGAAAAACAGACTCACAGTTTTTGTTTTGCTTTAAATGCATGACAGGATAAAATGTCACTTTCTGCTAAGGAAAACAGCAAAATTAACACACAGAACAAAGGAACACTCAGGTCGGTCCCAAAGCCCGGTGGCTAAGAAGGTCAGCTCCCACACAGGCCAAAGTGGTGTGAGCCCTGCCCGGGAGGCTTGAGAAGCACACCTGGCTATGTGCACACGCCTAACCCCTGACGGGAGGGAGAAGTGGAGAAAGGACTGCGCTGTGAACAAGCCCCACTGAGGAGGGTTCCTCCCTCTCCCTCTGGAGAGCACACACACACTGGCAAATAAAAACGAAAAAACAAAAGCTCCAAAATATAAACTGATTTGTAATTCCAAACAAAAGACAAATACCCAGATTGGAAGTGAAGAAGACTCACTCACATGATGATTACAAGAGAAACACATTTTTTTAAAGAATTGTTATTTATTATTTTAAATTTTGCTATAGGGCATGTGCAGTCACCAGAAAGAGACAGAGAAAAAAGTGAGAAAGCAAGCCACCTGGTCCAGGACTTGAACTGCAGTCAACTGTACGGGAGCCCAGTGCCCTATCCACCACACCACCTGCTGGCCCCCGAGATATACATTAGTATAAAGAGACATATTATTGTTTAAAACTTTAAAAAGGGAAAAAGATATGCAATAAAAGAATAGTGATATTAACATTAGACAAAGTAGACTTTAAATAAGTAATAACGGATCTAAAAACACACTTTGTCGTAGTAATGAGATCCACTTGTCAAGAATATATAGTAATACTAAAGTTGTGTGTATCTAACACACTTTATAATTTGAACAAGTCTCTTGCTTTCCTATATGACGGTACTTCAAAAACCTTGTGGGAGAGTTTGGAATTGAAGTACAAGTTTATTTTGGTGCAAAAACTTTTGAGTTTTTCCTAACACACATTTTTCCATGAACTTTTCAAAGTACCACCCCCTCCATGTAGTCCTTTTAGTAAGCTTCTGAATTCTGTCTAGTGACGTTTTCTTTTAGATTTGGCATTATATTCATACGGAACTCTGTCTATTATTTTTTGGGTAGGGTTTTTGACTTGGTATCAGGATGGTGTTGGTGCCAATGATTTGAGAGGTGTTCTCTCTTTTGAAATGTTTTAGAAGTGTTTGAGAAGGATTGATATTAGTTATTCCAGTGTCTGGTAAAATTCACCAAGACTCTTTTTTTTGTTGTTTTGTTTGGAGAGGTTTCGCTATAGGGCGCCTGCGCTCACCAGACAGACAGAGAGAGACAGAGAGACAGAAAGCGAGAAATCACCCCACAGTGGGGATGGCCACACCGCAATCCCTTCTCCTCCTTTCTCCTCTCGGGATCTTGGGCATGCACGCACACGTGCCTGGCCTGAGTTTAAGCCACCGGGTCTGGGACTCGAACTGTGGTCAACAACATGGAGTCCAGAGACAGCCATACACCAACTGCTGGTCCCCATCACTGAGACTCTTAAGTCCAGGGCTTTGTTCTTACTGGTTTCAAGATTCTTTGTCTTTTAATTTTTTTATTATAATGTCTTTTGGTGTGGGCGTCTTTAGTTCATCCTATGTGGAAAGGGAGGTCGAGGATGACTTGGAGGACTCTGGTCTAAGCAGCAGAATACAGTATACACTGACAGAGAGATTATTATGGGATGGGAGGGCTGAGGAGGATCCCAGAGAGGAGAAAGCAGGCTTACTCTGAACATACTCAGTTTGAGAAAAACTGAAAATATAAAATCTGTGATTACTGCATGGAGGAGGCAGGAAAGCAGTGACCTCATGGAGGGGACGTGCACATAAAGGAGAAAGGTTCAGAGAACAGGCTCTGAAGTAGGTGAGTGTCAGGAGGTCAGAACGCCATATTGGCGTAAGACTAGAAAGAAAGTGATACCCGATGTACGCTGTGGACTACTCTCACTCACTTGGAGTGACTTCAAGGTTAAAACCCAAAGCTTTTCTGCCCTTGCTTAACCAGCACTCTGAGGCTGCCACTGACGACGACGAAGCGGAGGCTCCGCCCGCACTGAGCACGGCAGTGAGACGGCATCCCTGGCCACGGCCTGGGTCCGTGTGATCCCAGGGTCAGGTCTCTCGTCTGAGACACTCAGGGATACACGTGTAAGGACACGCTCAGAGCACCTTCCGCACGCAGCAGAGGATCACCCACCGCGGAAGCACTGCGCGTGTCCTCGGACGCGACATCAGCCATCAGGTGACGCCGGAGGCTTGTGAGGTAGTGATGTACTACATGGTGTTCTGATCTTCAGACGACACTTCAGAGGCTGATGATAAACTACGGGTCTGACAACTCACTTTCCATTTTAAGATATTTCTTGAACTTTCTCTTGTTGTGACAGGCAACCAAATTGATTAAACCTAGTCATGGGATTTGACACTACAGCCAGCAGACTTCTATTTGTTGATTGCTATTGATTTTCTTTGATACTTCATTTAAAAATCAATAGTTGGAAAGAAAAATAGGCTTGGTTTACACATACTTAAACACACTATTGTAAGCCGGAGGAGGCACAAGTTTGGCAGGGCTTTGGCATCCAATTATAAGAAGAGCTCTTAACAGGTGAAAGCAAGGGCTTCAGATCGATATGCAGTTTTCCTTCTCAATCAAAGAAAGTGGCCATAAATTAGGCTCATCAGTGTTATTTCTAAGGCTTTCTCGAAGCAAACAACTTTGAACTTTTTCTGTTCCTTCCCTGGGTTTATAAGAAAGGGTCTGGCACTAAGAGTTTCCCTTTTGTTTTGATTTTAAGGATAGTTAAGGTACCTGGAGTTCATCCGGGCTTTTATCTTCTTGGCTTTTTTTTTATTTTTTTGCCGGTCTTCTCCATCTTTCAAAGGCTCTGGTGGAACTGCACTTTCAACCACAACGTCAATGATATACTTCTTCAAAGAAAGATGCTCCTGCAAGGTAACACAAATAAGAGCGATGATGATTAAAAGGCTTGTAGGACTGCGACAGACTACGGGGAGAAGAAAAGATGATACAGATGACATGAAGAGTAATACCTAGGTCCCACTCTGGCTTTGGAAAGCATGAGACGAACTGTGTGACTTGAGATGTTCATGACTCATCAAACCTTCACTGCTCCCTGCGCTAAACGCTCAGGATGCAAGGACTTGATCCCTGAGACCACACAAGTGGAGAAGGAAAGGTGGACTAAACACACGCACTTGAACGCCCTGCAATTAGCCGATGAGAGATTTAGAGTGTTGAAGGAGCTCAAAAGGGGAATCAAGATGGCTGCTCACTGGGGGTGAGGAGTGAAGACCTCGGGAAGGAAGCACTGTGTCTGCTATCCCTTGAAGGATGGGCAGGACGTGAACACATGGGTGTTGGGAATGACTGTCGGTGTGTGCTTGGGCTGGGGGTGGGAGCAGGGCCAGGAAGGAGAAAGCAGATCCCCGAGTGGAATGTGGGCACTGGCAGCAGAGGCTTGTTCCGGTGGGAGCACGCAGCCTGGCCTCACTTCCCCCGGTACCCATTCCAGGCCTCCCGGCCCAGCCCTGTAAGCACCCTATTGCATGTACCCAACACCAGTGTCCTTCACTTCTTTCACACCCGTGTGGCAAAATCCCAACCCTATCCGGCTCTCTATTAGCTAATGTGGCTATTATTACAAACTAGGCTGACAATTCTTATTTCAATTTTATAATGCATCTCTAGTTTTGCCAAGTAGCTGAGAAACCTTACACTAGTTCATCTACATGCTAGGATTATTTCAGACTCTGTCCTCAAATCTCCCACAGCCAGCTCTCATGGTCATGCTTATTTCACTGGGGAAAACAGCATTATTCAGAAAAGAATTCCCACACGCTCCCACAGCCAAGTTTACCAACCGACCCGCCCATACAGTCTGTCTTCCCTTCTGCTGTCATACACAAACACTCACGTTCCTATCCAAGGCCCAGCACTCCAAATGGACACGAGATCCCACTCTTACTCCCCCATTCACATGGTTATTTCTCCTCTTTTCTGCATCGACTTCTACCTTTCTACTTAAATCTTCTTAAAAGAAGCTTTGCATGTCCCTCTCTGGGAATACTTTTACACTAAATTTCGTTGACACAAAGTGAAAGCTGTCTGCTCCCTTCACTCAATCTCTCCTGTACTCACTGTAGTGCAGCTCTGGCCTTCATCACCCTTACCGCTCCTCAGACTACCCTTGCCACGGACACCAACAGCCATGGCTGATGCACTCAGTCCTAACTCGCCTCCTGCAGTCTTAGCCCTCCAGATCACGTCCTCCTGCCTACAAGGCCTTCGGCTATCACACTGTCCTCCCAACTTACCGGCTATTCTTCTAGGTCGCTGCTGGATCCTTTCCCTCCTGTTGAGGAAAATGCTCCAGATGTTGGAGCACCCCAGAGCTATCCTCAGCCTCTTCCTACCCAAACTCACTCTTCGCGTGTAAAACCATGAACTATGTATACATAGATGATTCTCAAATTTTTTTTCAAAGTTTATTTCTTCCATGGAGAGAAAGACAGACAGACACCCACCCAAAGTAGGGCTTCCATGCCGTGAGCCTCCCTGGCTCCGCTGGCCTGGCTCATGGGGACACATCACACGCCCAGTGTGTACAAGGAGATTCTGGGACGAGAGCCCAGGGTGCTGTCCGTGTGGGTCCAGTTTTCAGATTGCACCGCTGTGCCCAGTCCTGCCTGCCCTCCTGAACTCCACTCGTCTGCACAGACAGCCTCTTCCAAACCTGCATGCAGGCAGAGCGTTCCAGCACTAGCACTTCCGTGTGCCTATAAGCTCTTACGCTCCCGCACACGAGAAGCTGCTCTCTGCAAAGTCTTCTCTGGTTCAGTTAATGGTGTCAACATCCGCATAGCTGTCCACATCTGACACATAACTGTCCACATCTGTCAGTCTGTAACAACTGCCATAGCCTGGCTGCACCTGTGGATCACTTAATACCTGGAGGCAGGATCCGTGGACATAGATACAGAGGACCGACTCAGGGTGTGTGTGTGTGTGTACACACATACATATACCAACTAAGCGGACACCTCTGGGGAGTAATAGGGCAGTGTCACGTTTTACAGCTGCACCACTGTTTGCCCCTATGCAGACTAAATATTAAATATTGATGATATTAACATTTTCATTGTATAAAGTCTTTTAAACACTTAGGATTCAAATGTATGCATTGCGGTTTATAGATAAGAATGTAAAATTTAGGGAACCAGCAGATGGCATAATGGTTATATTACTGGACTCCCACGTAGTTGACTGCAGTTCAAGTCCCAAACCTGATGGTTTAAAATTCATGCTGGGTGCATGTGCTTGTGTGCCCCAAATCCTGAGAGCAGTATAGAGGAGAAGGGACTGTGGCATGGCCATCCCCCTTGGGGGATGATTTCTCACTTTCTGTCTCTGTCTCTCCAGCAAGTGCACACACCCTATAGCAAAAATCTCTCTTAAAAAAAAGTAAGATTTATATATTTGATATCAGGGCTAGAGAATAAGTAAAAATGTTAACGGTAGGCATAACTTCAGCTTTTTCTGTTACAGGATTTTTCACAACAAGTGTGTAACATTATAAAGTTGATATTAAGGAAATATATAGAAAAGCAGATTCTTTAATATAAAGGCTAGAAAATAAATAAAAATGTTAACGGTAGGCATAACTTCAGTTTTTTTCTGTTACAGGATTTTTTTTATAACAAGTATGTAAACATTATAAAATTGATATTAAGGAAATATATAGAAAAGCAAATTCTTTAAAGAAAAGAGGCTCAATCTGTTTAAGGTATATTTGCTGTAGAATTATTCTATCGGAGACTGAGCAGCCCTGAGTAAAATCCGCTCTCTTGTCTGCATCTATTCACAATTCTAGTTATTATGACACAGGCATGAGTATAAGCAAAAACAAGGAGTTTGCAGAAAGATTGTGAAAAGTGTGTATTATGAAAAAATTATGTGCAGATATCCAAGTTTTACTTTACACCAAACTGAAACTTCACTTTCATTCCATTTTTCACATTTTGAGGTCCCCTTGTGTAGTCTATGAGACACAGTAGCTATGATTTATTTATTCATTTTCAAAATCTGAATCAATCAGAACCAAAAAACGCTCCTGTGAGGATCCGTGGATCTCCTCCCTTCCTAAGAGGACTGTAAACATGGTGTCTAGCCCCACTGCCCCTGCTCAGTGCCTCCTACTCTCTGACTAACGAAATCGGAAACGAGTCTTGGTGGCCGTGTCTGGTGCGGCCTTGCTCCCTGTACAGCACTGACAGGGGCTGCTGCTGTTCCTCTCAGTGCAGGACAGGCTGATGCACAGAGACAGCCCTGAGCTGCGTGTCAAGGCGTCCACAGTGAGGCAGGGGCCATAACGCGTGGGGCTCTCTGGGCCCCAGTTTCCTGAGCAGTAAAATAAAGAAATGAGACAATAAATTCTCAAGTACCCTTCCTCTGATATTCTGAAAGTAATGTAACAGTCTAAAAGCTAATTAATGAAGGTTAATTCCATGTATACACAAAAATGTTACATGTAATATTTAAGTCATAACTGGATTCTTACTTAAACAACATGGGCTGTAATAGGAAATATTAATACCGTACATGAGGAAACTAATACCTACACAGACATGAGCTCATCAAAGTTTAAACCCTTCTTATTCTTTTAATTACCTTTTATAGCATACTAGACCAAACCTCTGGCCTTTCTAACATAATTTATTATATGAAGTGAAATAATTCATTCTGAAGTTTATGACCTTGATAGTCTATCAGACTCATCCTAAACGTTCCCATATTTCCTTATTTTTAAACTGAGATGGGAACAAATTAAGCTATAGATAGGTTCATGATCTTTGGGAAAAATACAGAAGTTCTAAAAATAGGGTAAGAAGCAAAATGTAAATGACATAATGTAGGATTTAACTGCCATTTTTAGAGTTCTTTAGTGTTATCTGCCTCAGAATAAACATATCTGATAAAATGTGATGCACTGAAGTAAATAATGTGCTTCCCATCAACTAAAAATGCAACAAGAAACCGTGAATTTTCAAAGACACTATATAGGGGAACCAGCAGTTAGCGTAATGGCTATGTCGCTGGACTCCCACGTAGTCGACTGCGGTTCGCGTCCTGGACCCAGTGGCTTAGAACTCACGCCAGGCGCGTGTGCGTGTGTGCCCAAGATCCCGAGAGGAGAAAGGAGGAGAAGGCACTGCGGTGTAGCCATCCCCCTGTGGGCTGATTTCTCGCTGTCTGTCTGTCTCTCTCTGTCTGTCTGGCGAGCACACACGCCCTATAGCAAAAAAAACCTCTCCAAAAAAAAAAAAAGACACTATATAGGATATATTTGTGATAGTGGTTTTGATGTATATTTGATACAAGATTCTTTCTGTATCAAAAGGATATAAATATTTGCTTTGGGTAAAGGGACCAAAAAGCATCATTACAATAATACAGATACATTTTTATATGAAAATTTAAAAAAAAATTGCTATGCTTCAGAGACTTATTTCTCTGGAGCCAAAAGCTTATTGCCAAGACTAGGGAGAATGCCAAATTACTAACCTAAATAGACAAAAAAAATTACTGCAAGAATGTTCTCATTTTATTTAGAAAACACCACCTTCCAACCTCATCCTGTATATTCTTGATCAACTTTGGAAAAGAAAATCCAATAATATTACTCAAGAACGAGATACTGCTTTTCTTAAACCCTTACAGCTATGATTAGGTATTCTGCTCATTTAAGCTCATTTGGCACAACAGGTAAGATAAACAGGAGGCATTTTACAAGACTCCCTCGCTGGCTTCTCCCCAAACTGGAAAGCAGTGGGGCCCGCGGGCTTGGCACTGGCTTTTCTCACTGCCCTGGATGAGGGAGAGGAGAAAGGTGAGGAAGATGTGGGAGGGCAGGAAGGAGATGCAGGCA